AACCTTCTTATGGCTGGCAAACCTGAACTCGTGCGTTTTCAGGGGGCCTCGAGATGTGGGAAACATTGTTCAAACATGTTTCGCGCTTTGCATTTTTCTGGACCACTGAGCCGCGTGGTTTCACGCAGGCTCGACTGGTGGAGTACTTTGACCCTCAAGATCAGCTGGAAGCAAAGTGCGACCTTTTGGCTGACATGATCTGCAACGCTCGGCACATCATTGCCTTTACAGGCTCAACAGCACATGATCCACAGCTTCGTTTTCGAATGCTTGCGGCTTGTGAACCCCTGCTTACATACTGACTCCCCGATGTTGCACGTTGGTAGAAAGACATTTGGTGCGTGACTGCATGTTTTTTCCGTGGGCGGTTGAGCGATCCACTTCCCAGTAGGTGCCGGCGTATCCACTGGCGCGGGCATTGCTGACTTTCGGAGTGGTGGCCGACTCAGCTTTCCCAGGCCACACTCCAGGGGCCGATGTAGGAACACTCCCGGTGTCGTGGATCAAGATGAGGAGCCCACGAAGGCAATCTTTGGCGCATGGGCTGACGATGGTGATTCCCTGCATAGTTTGTATGGCGAGCAACAACTGGGATATCCTTTTTTCTCATCAAGTGAAGATTTGAGACCCGCTTCTTGTGCCATTCTTCCTCGTAAGACACATTGTGGGGTTGCGAAAGCTCGCGCACGGTTTGTTGCTAAAACCAGTGCCACGTAAGCCCCAGTTTGATGCTCCAACGGAGCGCGCAAGTGGTTTTGGGCTCACGTAAGCAATTTGTGCGGCTGGTTTTTTGACCCGCGGACGGTTTCGTGGACGCAGCGGCCAGCAGAACCAAAAGCCAATAGGTATCGCTCAGGTTTTCGCCATGTTTCAGCTTGTGACGCACCTTTTGGCGCCATGTGAGGCACCAACACCTCGCTGCCAACGGGGCCGGGGCTGTGGGAGCGCCCGAAAAGCCAACTGACGGAGAACATCCTGGAGCAGCGCGGCTCCCGGCCAACGGAGCGAGCGAGCGAGCAACGGTGCCCGCGTTAGGTTTGGTTGGGATTTGGGGTTCGACGGTTTGTCTCAAAATGGAACATGGAGCCCAGACATGGGCTTCGCTTTCGGCTACAAGGGTGCCCTCAGAACATGGGGAGAAACATCAGAGGGTTCCCTAAAATGGGATTTCCGAGCCCCCCTTTGGCGCCTCTGGCTTCCATACCATGTTCCGGAGTTCCATTTTGCTGTGTGCCAAGTGTCCCACCAACGATGGAGACTTGTAGCTTGTCTGAGTGGCAAACGACCGACCGTTTTCTGTCTTCTCGGCGCGCGCAAATCGACACTTGCGTGACTCAGGTGCGCCAAGGCCAGCTGTGGGCGCACGCACCAGATCCTCTTCCGCCTCTGGCAGGCTGAATCGGAAGTCGGCATCCAAGTGGTCCATCCAGTTTGAGATCAGAGCTGTTTGAGGCCGGGCTTCTGAAACACATCATCTCGCAAAATGCGGCTTGGCTGCACGCGGCCGGCATCGCGTGGCATTCACGGTGCTGGCCCCGAGGTGGACGGCTTGCACCGAAAGTCTGGGATTCCTGCCGCAGCGCTCAGCGAGCTCCACGGCAACATCTTTGTTGAAAGGCTGGGAAGGGCTCGCTTGAGCTCCGCCCCGTTTCGCGTTTCCGACTGAGCAGAATGGATAGAAGGGGCCCATGATTTCGGTGCCTCGGAGAGATCCATCCTACTGCTTGGGCTTGGGTGACTTAGAAGCATCAAAGGAGTGGGCTCCAGCGGGATGGAGGGGAATGGGCATCTGTTGGAAAGGTGCACCAGCTGTGGCCGGGACTATGAGCGAGTGCCCTGGATGCAGCTGGCCAGGTGGTGAGTCTTCGTGCCTTCCGCAGAATATCCCACTGGTCGCTTACCTCTCTTACTCTAGCTGATGAAGACACAGTCAGCTAGCGTCAAAGGTTGCCTCTCCTCTGCCCCGGGCTCCGGCACGCTTGTCTTCACCGAGCATTTGCGTGTGGATGATCGCTGCAGCCTCGTATAGCCTATGCCTTGCTTCGCTACCAATGATAAGTTGTTTGGCACAGCCGAGCATCATAGTACTGTGATGCCATGCCATATTTTCCTGGGTGGTGCACGTTTGATACGCTAAAACATGCTGTTCATGCGTACACCATGCCTTAGGTATGCCCCAGACCTGCTTCAGTGGCAATCGCGCACGCGGTTGTTGCAAACATCAGCAACAAACCAGTGGCTTTAACAGAACAAGCACATTTGAAGAAGAGTTTCCTGGGAGGGAAATCGTGTTCTTGCGATGAACCCTGAATGGGGAAAGGGCTTTTCCAGAGCGACACCACGGCACCCCCCATTTGCAGTCATGTATGGGAAGTAATCCCAAGCTTAGTAAATCATCTTCCTGGTCGCGTAGAGAGTGCTAAGAAGAGGCTGGTTGAGGTTTTTGCGCCGATTCCGAGAATCTGCGTGAGTAGATCTGTCAAAAGCAGAGGACACGTGAGGCGCGAGCGACCGCATTGCCTAATTTCGGCTAGTCATTGACTTTGAGAACATGGCCCAAGTGTATCAATCATTCAAGGTTTCCCTCGCACATAGGGGGAGGGTTCCAGTCGCACGGGCCGCATATTTGCAGAGGTCAACGTAAGGAGTTTTTTGTTCCTCGGGGCGCACGCCACTGGCACCCGAGGACTTCAACGTCATTTGCTCCGGCGGCTTCACCGGGAGGAACTGCGACGCGTGTGGAGGTGCGCTGCGGCACTCCGGAGTGGCTTGGTGCGCCAAAGATGCTCGCTAGACCCAGGGGTGCTCTTGGGCCGGTTCTGCATCTCAAATCTTGTGGGCCCAAGCGCCAATTGTATGGATCCCTTGCCATGGTTGACACGTGGCAACGGGGCAACGGCAACGGCACATTCAGGTTAGTTTGCTTCCGCGCTTCTTGCCACCGGCCCGGCCCAAGCGACCGCCTGAGGTGGGCTTCGGCCAGGACCTGGCGCCCGAGATCTTGGCCAAGGCCTGGGGCCACACGGAGCGCGCGGACCTCTGCCTGGCGCTGGGCAGCTCCATCACGGCGCCCCGAGGAAATTCGCTGGGCTTGGAAACTTAGGTTGGCAGTCCGGCAGGTAAGCAGGAGGCCTTTGGGCTTCCCAGGTGGTCCGAAGCCTTTTGTCAGGTTCCATACAAAGCTAGACTGCTTGACTTCCCAGGGTGCTTTTTGCCCCAATCTGGGGTCTGACTTGCGTCCACATGGAGGAAGCAAGTTGAGCATTTATCTTTTGGCCGAAGCAACTGCAAGTGATCCCAGCGTCATGGACCCAACTTTTGGGTTCGAGGACTTGACAAGATAGGATGGCGAGGCCTGCGAGGCCTTCGCCTGCCACACTGCCACATGTTTGGGCGGGGATTGAGGTGACTCCAGCGTCAGAGATGCCCGAGTGGCTGGCCCGGAATGCGAAGAGCAGGACCTGGCGGTTTGTTTTGCCGGAATTCTGAAAACGTGGCCCAGAGGCCAGCAGGGCCTTAAAGGGGTCAAAAGAAGTGGAACATGAACTACCCCGGGAAGAAAGTATTTTTGAGGGTACCAAACAAATCAACTGTGTTGCGAATGTGGATTCAGAATTTTGATGCTATGCCCACTGCTGCAGGCCCAAAGACAAAGGCCTGGTCATCGTCAACCTACAGGCAGGTGGGCAATCTCGCCACGGTCCGGCAGTTTGCTGCATGCTTTTAAAATGCCCCATCACATCACAGTCTTCATTCATTCGGCCCGGAACAGACAAAGACGTTTTGCAAGTCTTTGTGTCAGCCTCGAGCAATTGGGAGGCAACACCGTGCGACAGCCTATGCGCACTCCGCATTAACGGCATGGTGGATGATGTCCGGGCTCCCAGCATTGGTTTTTGGCGTCTGTGGCAATACTAAAATGCGCCACCCTTGCGCCTCGTGCGTTTGTTGGTATTCCGGCTTGACGGAGGGCCTTCAGCAACGATGAATCAACCCTAAGCCAGCTGCAGGAGACAGCCATACACATGGCACGCTGAGGTGATGCAAATGGTGGAGTTTTGGCTGCACGCAAGTGCCCGCATTGTTGCATCCTTTCTTTCAAGGCAGAGCTAATCAACAAGTTGTTCATGCAGTAGCGTCATGCGATGAAGAGGGCCCCTAGCAAGGTTTTTGCCGGGCTTCTTCCTTGGTTGTTGTTGGATCTTACTCTTGATGACATATTTTTGACAAGCAAGTGGCACAGACCTCAGCTTCGTCCGCCTGGACGGTGCAAGCCAGGTTTCCAAGCTGCGCAAGAGGGGAGCCTTGAAGGATCAGATGTGATGTGTGAGCGCTTAGGAAGTGCACGTCTCCCCCAAGGATGCCCCAAAGCTATAGCTGTCCAAGTGCAATCCGGCTTCTTGTTATTCATTCCGGAGCAAACTTGTGGGCCTAGTGCTTTGTACAGTGTATAGGTCGGTTTTTAATTCGTTCATCCCTCTTTTTCTTTCGCAAGCGCAGGGCTTGCCACGCGTCAAGTTAACCCTGGCGCATTCTTCAAGCGAGAGCAATGAGTTTTCGCTTCCCGTGTTTCAGCACATAGGTGCTCGGATCTAACAAATTGGATCAAAAGGCAGGCTCAACTATGCAGCTGTTGGCCAAAGCAGCCAAAGCAGCAGACGTGACCGGCCAAAGAAAATGCTGAAGTGTTCTCCTGGCCGGTGTGCTGTGTTTCGAGACCATTCAAGGGCCAACTTTCACACCCCAAATGGACGTACCTCACCTGTAGGCCTTATATTATATAGGAAGGATTTTGGGGTATTACCCCTGTATAGCTCATGCATAACCACTTATGTGGCCCATACCCCTACGTAAGTTGGCCCTTAGAGACCAAAGAGCCTGAGGAAGCACTTGTGGGCGGATGACCTCCCATCCTTGCGCGTTGTTTTGTTGAACTGGCCGGCTCTTCCTCTCTTTCTGGCAGGAGTGTCTTTTTCTATCCATGTATTACATGTATGCAGGTCCAGGAGGTCCTGCAGACCGGCACACCGAGAGATGGCGTCATCCCCGTGGCGCAACGCCCTGGGACTCAGGATAGCGGCTGAGGTGAAGGATTCAAGCTGCTTGGGTCCTCAGATTCAATGAGTTTTGAGTCATTCGTTGGAATACCCTTTGCCTAATCCAAACAGCCAAGTCAGGAGAAGCTGATTCATGGGTGTTGAGATCACGTGCCAGTAACTCGTCAGAGAGCCGTTGAGAACGAGCGGTGGAGAACGAACCCGCACCTTGTGAGAAAGGACAAAGCAGTCTTGGGACGCAGCTCTGGCTGGCAGCGAGGCGTCTCCGGTTTGGTGTTGCCATCTAGGTCTCACGCTGGAGGAGGCTGAGATGCTGGCAGCACGCACAGGCCTCAGGCGCAGTTTGATTGGGGGCCGGCCCCAACTCTGGGCCTTTTGCGCCTTTCGCAGGGCGGGTTGTATCATCATCTGCGTTTTTTTTGGGTATCCGGTATCTTCGTGTATCTTTTGTGTTTTTACCAGACCACCCACTTGCATCCAGCTTTGGCACCTGTCAATAGATGTCAGCAGCAAGTGGAATGAGACACCGGCTTGAAGTATGTTGAACAAAACTGGCCGGCAGGTCTGGAGAGCCAATTCTGCACCACAGTTGCCAACTCAATCATCATTTAGGTATGGGTATGGGTAACTAAAATTGGTTGATTAGAGTATTGCCAGCAACCAGCCAAGGCCTTGCACACTTGTCCCAGACGGCGGTGGCTGTGGACATAGGTGCCTCGCTTGGGAGCATGTGTTTGTCGCTCACTGACTGGGATTCGCTAATACACCCCGAGAACCTTGCCTTGCGAATTGCCCGAAATGCATCCAGAAGTTGCTGTTGAAGCGAGGTTACGTCATTCGGTGAACCAAAGCTTATTAGGGCGTTTCCTGAGCTTGGGAACGCCCCCTGCGCCAATGATTGCGAGTTTCAATGCGGCATATTTTCAAGAATTGGTAGACATGAATCTCACGATGTACTTCTGTCCACGGGGAAATTCAAAGCGGAGGGCACACCGGCCACACCTCTAAACGGAGGGCTTGCCAAGCGGCGGAAGGTGCCGTGCAGGAGCTGAGGAACCTGCAGCGCCAGGGCGAGGCAGAGGACCTGCCGAAAACGGGCTCGATCTGAAGAGGAACGCCGCAAGGGAGGCGAAAAAGGACAACCAAAAGGGAAACCGAAAGGACACATCCTGCTTGTTGGATGAATTGGATGCGAAGATTTATAAGCTATCAGGTAATTGAATGTGGACCCTTTCTTCAATCTGTGGAGCCGAGTCTCAACGGGCTTTGGCCAATTGTGCGCAATGCATGTTTTCCTTGGCCCCTCAACCTTCAGTTCGCGCCTTTGGGCCCTTTGTGCGGTGCTCGCTGCATTTAACCCTCTGCTGCTCTTGCTTGCTCTGCTGCTTGGGGTCGCGCCTTTGATTAGGACTCACGCAGCTGGCCACAGCAATTTGCTCCCCGACCAGGACGCCAGGCCGCCTCTCTGGACGGTTCCTATTCTCATGTGTGTTTGGCTGTTGCGACCCCTTGAAGAGGTGACTCCCCCGCAAAACACGCTGGGATGCTCCGTGGCCATGATTGAAACTGAACGCATGAATCACGCACATTGGGTGGAAACAGCCGATTGAACCCCAAACTCTGAACGCTAAGCCTCTTAAGCTGTCATAAACCATTAAAACAAAGCACAATATGGAGCAATCCTACTTCCATTTGGTTCATATTATTTTTATTATTGTCCCCTGTTGGTTTTAAATGGAATCTATTACTATTAGACATATATTTTTTCCAGGGAACTTAAGCAAATGGAGGCCTATGCCACTTTATACCCAAACACGCTTCGCCCTTTCGGCCACGCGCTTTTCTCCTGACAGGCACAGCCCACCGCCCCAGCGGTGGCCTCCCGCGTGCGCCTGCGTGGGGACGGCGCCGAGTGGATCTCTGGAGCCTCGCTGGGACGGTTGGATGACAGCAGAAATACCTGGGGTGCTCTGAAAATGGGGAAACGCATCAGAGTGGTTGGTTTCCTTTTGGCTTCCCTGCAAAACCGGTACCATAAAATAAGCTCAGGTGATATCCCCAACAGCATGCGGCGCTCGTTTTAGTGCTCGCACCACCCCGCCCTCGCAGAACCTCGTGGAACCCTGGTGGAACGCTGGTGGAACCCTGGTGGAACCCTGGTGCAACCCTGGTGCAACCCTGGTGGAACCCTCGTGGAACCCTCATGGAACCCTTACCTCAGGGCCGCCCCGGACCACCCCGGAGCCTATGTGGGCTGAGACCCAAAGCTTTCAGCTGTTGGGGAAAAACAACAGACCCATTTTGGGATTTATGTGCAAGTTTGGCGAATTTCAAGATGAAGCAAGAGACAAATTTGAACAACTGGACACGTGGGAGTCGTCCGAAAGGTTCGTAATCCAACCAACCCGAATTCAATGAAACAACTGGACAAAGGGATATGATTTGGCCCTTCTTTCACACAGTATTCGCGTTTGAACATGGAGCAATCTAGTTGAGTGGGGCAAACCTGGACTTTTTCTGCTTGACTACACCTATGGAAATTGACCCAACAAACGTGACATGGGGTTTATCTTCGGCAGCTGCTTGCGAAGCCCGGAAATATCTTGTTTGTTGTGACAGAGATCAGATGCCAAGCTGAAATTCACCCACGCCAATGGATGAGTCTTTGTTGTGAGGGTGGCCTGTGAAAGGGACACCCAAAGGAAACGAGCCTTTTTGTGGGCTCATAAATTGTAAAATGAATAGCCAACTGGTCCACGGAGTTTCTGACGCAGTTCCAAACAGGTTTAGCATCGCCCTTCATGGCGCGTGCAACTTTTTTTTTGTCATGATAGAGATGGGGATACCTTACCTGGCTTATTGTCTAGCTTGAGAGAGTGAGACCAACTCCGCGTCCATCAACCCGCAAGGAGTGGTGGCTCCTCGGCTGAAGCCGCGCTTTGCCACCCTGGGGGGGAAGGCTTCAAGGGATTTGTTTCAAATTGTTTGAATATGTTCCAGCCAATGCATTCCTCACAATGTTGGCCACCATGGCGTCCCTGGCTGCTTTCTGTGATTTGTTTGCTGGTTCAGTTGCTTGCTTGTCTTTTTGTTCTTTTGTTGTGTTAGTTTATTTGTGCGTTTGTGCACTTGTTTGTTTGTTCTGTTTGTTTCCTTGCTGTGCAGTTTGCTTGTTTGCTTGTTTGCTTGTTTGTTTGTTTGTTTGTTTGTTTGTTTGTTTGTTTGATCGAATCATGGGAGGGTCCAGGTTACGCCAGAGAGCCGCTGACATCTGCCATGGAACTCTGAAGGTCGGGCACGGGCCACCAGATGCACCCTGGCGATGTGGCGTGAGTGCTTTTCTCAGAGCTGGTGCGTTTGCGCGGCCTCGGGGGATTCCATGCTCTCAGGGTGTGTTTTTGTGGTTGCCCTGTTGGGACTTGAGCCACGGTTCACAAGTTCCATCGCTTTCAGGGCAGATGAACATGTGGAGAGTGTAGATCCTCTTCTAGAAATGTGGCTATGGGTCAAAACGATTTCTCCCTTTGAACTAGTGTTCCCTTGGCGTGGCCGACAGCCTTAGGACAGTCCTCGATTGAAGCCAATCTGGACGTCATCGATGACCAGGCGGCAACACGAGCGGTCGCGCATCGGACGACCTTTGTTTGGGACGCGCATTTTTTCTTCTTCGTGCGTTTCGGGGACCAAAATCAAGGCATTTCCCGGCCGAGTGGCTAAGCTCGGCCAGGGCGTCCTTTGGGAGCAGCTTCCTCCGACTCAAGTCAAGCTTCCGGCCGTACAGAGGACCAGTGGAGGTGCCTTGGCCGACCTCGGCATGCGTGCGAATTGGTTTTCGCGCCGGTGGTAAGTCAGCACAGTTTGTCTCTAGCGTGGCGCGCCTCACAAGACATCCTGATCTAGGAAGTTCAGACATGCGATCCGTGCGCACTTGGCCCAACCAAATTGCTTCTGAGGTGTGACGAGCACTCCTGTGACCGGGGTGGCCTCTTGCCGGCATTTTCTGCCTGCGCGAGTCTCTCTGGTTTGGGCTGTTACTCGCTTGTCGCTTCTGGATGCTGAAGCTCATGGGCCCTCCCAACCGTTTCGAAAGCCCTCCCGAATTTGATGCTGACGCGACTCGACTCCGACCATTAATCCGATTCGAACCCAGGAGCGCCTGCAATTCTTGGAGGCGCGGCGCCTGCCGCGAGAAGTGCCACCCGTGCCTTGGCATTCGCACTGGTTATATCCGCCATGATCATGATCCGCATCGGCAAATGCCGGAGTGGGGAGTAGATTCCCGGATCAACTGAGGCCTGTAGTTGTTGTTGTTGTTTGTGTGTTTTGTTTTTGTGGCAACTGTTCTGTCTACATGTGATACCCATGCAGTTGTGCAGTGTGCAAATAGGTAATTCTCCGGATGGTTATTTGTCATGAGCGACACATGCAAATGGATGCACAGTCCTCATCAGGGAGAGATCTAATTGCCCTGACCGAGTTTGTCGACTATGGACCTGCTATTGGGTGTTTCCATTAGGGGATCCAACATAAGGGCCAGCTATTTGCCCCCCCAAGGACTCCGTTTGGCAACTCTGAGTCCCCTAAGTTTGGGTGGCTATCCCCGGCATTACTTTCGAACATTTCGGGGGGCTTGAGCCCATTTTTGGCTTGCTTTCTTCTAAGGCTGGCCCCTGCCATGGTTCTCGGGGTACCTTCCCCATTCTTTCTAGGGATGTTTCTAGAAGACCTCCAGAATCCCAGGGAGAACGGATGCGGTTTTTGAAAAGAACGATGGTTGAAAAGAATGGAAAAGGAATCAAGCCCTAGAATGGCGGCTTTGTCTGGATTTGCTGGCGAAAAAGGCCTGCGTGGAGCGCTGCGTCGCGAGGTGCCCTTCCTCCAGTCGCTGGAGCTGCCGCAACCACCGCCCCCGCCGTTGCAGCCTCTCCAGCTCCAGCCGCTGCAGCCGCTGCAGCCGCTGCAGCCGCTGCAGCCGCTGCCGCTGCCGCAGCCTTTGTGCCAGGGGTGGGGTGTTGAAAGGGAGCCGGCCCCACTTGGAGGTAAACTTACATGGAGGTGAAAGAATAGTTGTTGAAACGTGCTTGAATGGCACCCTGAAGCCGAGGGCACCAGTGAATCTCACCCGGTGTTCAGTTCAGAACGCTCAATTAAGATGGCACAGGACATTCAGCGACACAGTGGGAAGCACGGAAGCACGTCCAGTCTCAGGTGACGAAAAAGAGTCCAGTCTGCTTGGGTGGGTGAAGAGTTGTTTTTGAGCCGAGTGACGAACCCCGATATTCGTTGGACAGGTCAGGAACATTTTGGATGTTCGATGCGTACTATCCTCCCGAGCCAGTTGTCCCAGGAAACTTCTTTCTTGCCATAAATCATATTGAACTGGTTTCCCAAAACAGCCACTTCGGACGCTCGTTTGTGTTCGGAAACACGCTGCCTGAAATGGAAAAGGTCGTCCTGACGCGAGCTCCTGACACAGATCTTTCTGAATCGCTGCCTGAGCTTTCCGAAACAGGGCTTCCTGTAACAACAGCTAGCTTTGAATCAAGACTTCCCGAAACTTGCCTTCCCCAGCTTTCCAAAAGGACTGAGTCTATCAACTTGATGAAGCCACGGAAAGGATCTAGCTTGCGTCTCCCCGTTGTTCATGCAACAGTCAGTGAGGATGGTGATAGCCTCAGAAAAAGATGATTTGAGGCCCGCCAGAGGACAAGCCGTCAGACTGGTGATAGTCATTTCAGCTCCGGCTGTTTATAGAAGGCCCGCCAGATAGGGTGATACAGATACAGTGCCGGACATGATTGAGTGCTTCTGAAACCAGGCTTCCTGAAAGTCATGCCCTGAAACACAGCTTCCTGAAGGTTTCGGGGCTTCCTGAAACAGATCTCGCTGAAATCGCCTTTCCTGAAGCAGAGTTTTCTGTAGCAACCAGTCCTACTGCTTGCGAGATGTTTGTTTTCCCGATTCACGACTTGTTGAAACGAGCTTTCTTCCTGAAATGCATAGAACAGTCAGTCAACCATGGAATAGCGATAGTCACAAATATAATAGCTTCTTTAAGGCCTCCGTTTGATTCATAGCACAGTCAGATTGGATGCACGTTCCCTAGTTCCACGTGCTTTCGAGCGAGGCCTGCGGCCGGAACTCCGGAGGCACCGGCTTCCGGGTTCGCCGCCCGTTTCATCCTTGGGGGGTCATGTAGCGATGTGTTTGAAGCAAGAGACCAACAGTTTAAAGCTATCCAACAAACTGCCACACACAGGTGACCAAGCGAGCAACCACCTGACAGACCAGCGTCCGCCACCCTCGGCCTGGTCCAAGACTCGGAGTTTTCCTGGCTCACCAATGGCAGGTCCTGCGACCCGAGGAGGAGCCGCCAACGCCGGTCATCCCAGTGCAGGAGCGGGCAAAGCGAAAGCCTCGTGAGTACATCTGTTTTCAGGTAGGTTTAGAGGAATATTTAAAGGGAGACCAAAAGGAAGACCACCATTTTGGGGACTTCCCCCATTTTGATCAGCAAAAAGCTGAGGTGCTGCCAAGAAGCGGGATTCCGTCTGATTTGGGTATGAATTCCAATTGACCCTTCGATGGACGTCGATGGAACCATTTAATTTGGGAGAGTTTTTGTAACGCGTGGGGCCATGTGGGTGTAGTTCCTGTTTCGGAGTTGTCACTCAAAGGGAGGCCATGAAGCCGAGCACCATTTTGGAGATTTGAACGGTTCCATGCCCTGCGGAGTTTACATCAATGCATATGCCTTTATACCATAGACGGTCGATGTTCAAAATAAAATGGGGGGGGCCTGGGGTCTTGATACACGACCTCATTTTATTTGGCTCGGAGGGGTTGGGCCCCTCGAATCTATTTCAGTTTTAGGTTTTTTCCGGGGGATGGCCAAGGGGCGGCTAAGGGGTCCAGGGTTTACGTGGGTCTGGGCCCCCCCCATTTTATTTCGTGGGAACATGGAGTATTTTCGCTTAGATGTGTCTAGGGGATTGCCTCGTTTGTTGCGAAGCTTTTGCCGGCATGGTCATGTTGGCTCCTGGTCCTTCTATCGTTCTGGCACACAACGCGATCCTGGGCACGGAGCCTCAACTTGGGACAGGACTGGGAGGGCTCGAGTCAGCTCAAAGCCCCAAACCAGGGTTCAGGGGAGGCCTCGGGCTTCTCTCTATTTCTCTCTGCACGGAGAAGTTTAAAGCGCGTCCATGCTAGTGCTATTTGCGCACATTCGAGAACTTTGGCCTCGGAAGCAACTTTGATGTTAGTAGACCAAATGTTCGTTTGGGGAATCCGGTAAGCATACATACAACATGATGGGTACGACAAGTCCGACAAATTCACTTTCGACTTTTGACGAGGGAGCAAAACGCGCCAAATCACGCCTAGTCACTGTCGACACGTGACAGAGAGAGAGAGGGAGAGAGAGAGAGAGAGAGAGAGAGAGAGAGTGAGAGCGTGGCGCGGCGACGCGCCCCACAAAAAAAATGCATACATTTGGCCTCAGTGCATGTCAAAATTGGCCTCAGTCGATCCGGGAATTGCACGAAATCACGCTGGGGCAGGCTAACAGCCGGTATCAATAAAGTCATGGAGTCCGACAATTCTAACGTTGTCCTGAGAGGCCTACCAGGCCTACAAAGGCATGTTGGTAAATATGACACACGCGACCTTTGCTCGAAACAACGTCCAAGCCCCCCCCCCTCCAAACCCTGGCTTGGAGCCAAAGAAACATGCTGTCCGACGTCCCTCCAAAGTTCCAGCAGAGGACATGGGCTTATTGCTTTAGGAAAATTGAGTGCTGTTGTTTGTGAGTCCTCTTTGCTTTTTCCCATCCGTCGCTTAACAAATCTTGCTTTATGATTCCGCTACTCGCAAACCCCAGAAGAGAAATGAGGGGCCCTCTCCGGCAGTGCGGCATTCGCGCAGCCATTTTGGCTTCTTTTTTTTTGGTGCAGGGTGTTCACGCAGGGCGGGATGGAGGGGCCAACGGCTCCGTCCATCTGCGCTCGAAACCCAGTGGCTTGCGCGCAGCATTTCATTGCATGTTCGTCACCGTGGCCTTTCTTCGCTGAGGGCATTCGCGGCTGCACGGAGAGATGCGAGGGCATCCGCTGGGACGATGCCATGAAAGCGTGGCGTGTCCGGCGCCGACCTCGGACCTTGGTTATGTGCGCATTTCTTCACGCTTCTTCATCGTAGGCTTGCGCGCGCGTACGTCTTTATCGTGTCGGCATGTGCTTCAAGGTGTTGCTTGGAGACCGTCACAATGAGTGGCGCCACGCGCAAGTCGTGGCACGAAGCCTATGCGCGCCAACCTTAGACACGTGCTGGGTCCATGAAAGTGAGCTTTGTGTTTCTTTGGGTTCCCCAAATTACTTCGGGGGCGCAGATGCCTAAGGTTCGGGACGGGCTCGCCCTGGGTGTGGGCGACACGGCCTCCGAAGCAGTCCAGGGTGCTGGAGGAGAAGAAGGTATGGGAGGCAGGCTGAGTAGTGTCAGGTCACACTGAATGGCGTTGTTCTTGGCCGCTTCCTAGGCAACGCAAGCCAAGCAAACCAAGCAGGCTTGGTCGTTAGGTCGATCTTTCATCAGCACGATGTAGCTCTGCTCAACAGGCTTCAGATCTTGTGGCCGTTGCAGAGGCTGCTTCCTTAGCACATACTCACAGTCTGTGGTTTTGCTGAGGAGTCCCCTGAGAAGGCAAGGAGGCCAGGCCGGCACGCGTCACCGAGCCCTTTCACGAGACTGGAGGCCAGGCCCTCGCGCGCCAGTGTCCTTTTTGCTTGCTCACGCCTGGCCGCCTGGCTGAGGTGCTTGGAGACGCGCTGCAGTTCCTTGGGACCGGGCAAGACCCAGAGACACCTTGTCGCAGTGGACTTAGCAACCACTCTGCTGGCACAACACCCCCCCTTGACGAAGCTTCGCAGGGAAGTGGTTGATTTCAACGCACAGGCCCTTCCAAAGTGGGCTCGCACAACTTCAGCGGCGCATCGCCGAAGCAAGAACACGCTGCAGGCCTGCTTTGGACTTGCCATGTTGGTGGGCGTTTGCTTGTCGGAGCCCAGGTGCAAGCCAATCGTTTGTCCTTTCGAGAACCCTTGGCTGGGGTCGGCTTTCACCACCGCAGAGAACTTGACACCCCTGAATATATCCAGGTAAATGGGTGGCTGACTGGGTGCTCTAGACAGGTGGCTCCGTGGCAGAGAATGGCTCGGTCTCCGTTGGGCAAGAACAACCAGGCCTGCCGTGGTTGGGTGGAGTGGTGGGTGGCTTCATTTCGGCTTCGCTGTGACCCAGTTTAGACCAAGTTGGGACCTCGTTGAGACCAAGTTGTCGTGGCCGCCTGGGGGGATGCGAGAATCTAGTTTGGGCGCACTTTGCAGAGGATGCCCCCAAAAGTCCTAAAAGTGCCACCTCATCGTTGTCAGGTTTGGGGGGCTTTGTTTAACGCGTCCCCCCTTGGTTTGACACGCCCTTTAGAGGGCCTGTTTTGACAGAAAAGGGACTCTCGTACTGACACACAGCTCGGGAAGCCAAGGGGGTTGGTGCCAGTCCCATTTGACTTTGGCGATGTCGATGGCCGGTCGTCCATCGACGCAAGCTGCCTACAGGGAAAAGTCATGACACGTACGAAATCGACAGTGCATCAGCCCCAAACTGTCGATGGCCGGTCGTCCGTCGACAATACCTGTCTACTGGGGGAGCGCTCGAGAACAGTTTTTTTTTAAAGCTGCTTCGCTGGGCTTGCCATGTTGGTGGGCGTTTGCTTGTCGGAGCCCAGGTGCAAGCCAATCGTTTGTCCTTTCGAGAACCCTTGGCTGGGGTCGGCTTTCACCACCGCAGAGAACTTGACACCCCTGAATATATCCAGGTAAATGGGTGGCTGACTGGGTGCTCTAGACAGGTGGCTCCGTGGCAGAGAATGGCTCGGTCTCCGTTGGGCAAGAACAACCAGGCCTGCCGTGGTTGGGTGGAGTGGTGGGTGGCTTCATTTCGGCTTCGCTGTGACCTAGTTTAGACCAAGTTGAGACCTCGTTGAGACCAAGTTGTCGTGGCCGCCTGGGGGGATGCGAGAATCTAGTTTGGGCGCACTTTGCAGAGGATGCCCCCAAAAGTCCTAAAAGTGCCACCACATCGTTGTCAGGTTTGGGGGGCTTTGTTTAACGCGTCCCCCCTTGGTTTGACACGCCCTTTAGAGGGAGGGCTTCATTTCGGCTTCGCTGTGACCCAGTTTAGACCAAGTTGAGACCTCGTTGAGACCAAGTTGTCGTGGCCGCCTGGGGGGATGCGAGAATCTAGTTTGGGCGCACTTTGCAGAGGATGCCCCCAAAAGTCCTAAAAGTGCCACCACATCGTTGTCAGGTTTGGGGGGCTTTGTTTAACGCGTCCTCCCTTAGTTTGACACGCCCTTTAGAGGGCCTGTTTTGAAAGAAAAGGGACTCTCGTACTGACACACAGCTCGGGAAGCCAAGGGGGTTGGTGCCAGTCCCATTTGACTTTGGCGATGTCGATGGCCGGTCGTCCATCGACGCAAGCTGCCTACAGGGAAAAGTCATGACACGTACGAAATCGACAGTGCATCAGCCCCAAACTGTCGATGGCCGGTCGTCCGTCGACAATACCTATCTACTGGGGGACCGCTCGAGAACAGTTTTTTTTCAGCTGCTTCGCTGGGCTTGCCACGTTGATGGGCGTTTGCTTGTCGGAGCCAGGCGCAAGCCAATCGTTTGTCCTTTCGAGAACCCTTGGCTGGGGTCGGCTTTCACCACCGCAGAGAACCTGACACCCCTGAATATATCCAGGTAAATGGGTGGCTGATTGGGTGCTCTAGACAGGTGGCTCCGTGGCAGAGAATGGCTCCGTCTCCGTTGGGCAAGAACAACCAGGCCTGCCGTGGTTGGGTGGAGTGGTGGGTGGTGGCTTCATTTCGGGTTGCCTACGGGTATTCCACGGGCTCTCTCCCAATTTCCACGGGGTCCCCAACTTTCCCCCGCCAAAGCCTTCGAAAAGTGTCGTGCCTGGCGGTTTTCCCCAAAACACCTGCCAAGTCCAGCTTACACATGCAACATGACGTTCCAAACTCCCGTTTGCAGGGCCTGCAGCATGGCATCTACTTTTCTGCTTGTACACCCTGTATACCATGTGGCAATGGAGCATTCGCGGGTCGTACATGGGCCATGCCTGAACATATCCCCCAACACAAGCCTTCTCCAGCGCTCCAGCGCTCATGTTTGAAAGGCATGCCCGTTTGTAGTGTGCAAGCATGGTCGTTTCAGGCAGGAAAGCCCGGGAACGGCCTGAAAGGTATCGGTGCTGAAAACACGATGTTTTTCAGGGAAACACGATGTTTTCGTGGCATATCCCTAAAAACACGATGTTTCCACCAGGACACGACGA